GCCCATAGTGTAGCTCAATTTCCTGCATAGGTCTCACAGCGGACTGATACCGAAACGATAGCAAAGTCTGAAGTAGTATTCTTCCCCACAGTCATTCTAGTCACTCAAAATCTTTTTTGCTTACAACATAGACATTCACTTATGCGCACCATTGTTTATTGCTTGAGTCCCCTGGTAGACTATGGCCATGCAGGGCCCCTGTATCTTTGGGTGGTCATGTTTGGAGTACACCTTCAACTGCAAGGTAGACAGCTTGAGGCGGATTGTGGTGTTTGTTCACTACCGATGCAATGATAATTCCTAGAGGGATTTCTATCATCCCATGGGCTCAAAACCTTGCCTTATAATGGTTATTAGCGGGCGCCTCAGCGAATAGTCTCTGATCAAAACTCACGGCACCCATTCTACTGAATGACACTGCTTTGTGACTCCTTCAACTTAACCTTACACGAGAGCTTGCCATACAAAGGCTCTGTTGTGTAATAGCGGAAACGAGAAAGAGGCGTTCCTAGCTTAGCTGTATGAACAACGTGCCGCTAAAAGCAGGATTGTGATGAACGACTCACTACGCAATAGAGCAGCAGTACATATAAGGTAGCAGCAGCAGTAAACTTAACGAAAGTCGGTCTAGCATATCATAATTCTTTGAAAAAACCTACCTCTGGTTTTTGCGACAGTGTGCGTTGTAGCCGCATTCTGTGTGACATCCACAAGCCTTGCGGTCAATCGTGCCAACGCATAAGCGGTCCAGCTACATGAACGCAAAATTCTTCCTCCTTATGAAGCAGATTAAAAGCTTGTTACTGCATGCAATAATATTTTCCTCTTGTTCAATTGCCTTACTTCCTGGCGGAGATTTACGTGCTGCATTGGTATTTTTCCAGGAGCTTAAATTCAGAGAGCGTCTGCTGCACTCGTTTGGATTTCTCAAAGCAAGTTGCATACAAATATTCCGAAAATTCCTGGGCACTTAACAGGGCAAACAGGCCTTCAACTTTGACAATGCAAGGCATCAGCTGTGAGCACGCTGTCATATACAGTGTGCATCTCATCACGCCAACAGCAAGTTAGCATCTGCGAAAAACCTGAGTCTTGAATTCTCGAGAAGCGAAGGAATGCGTCGCCAAGTCAGTAGTGCGGGCATAATACCCTGTCACAAGCTGCAAAGCTTTTAGTTACATCTACCGCAAGTCTGGCATGCGCGACTATTACCTGTCAAAATCCACTGGCTACATGACGCGAATTTTTTGGCCGGATCAAAATATGCCGATAAGCTTTGGATACAAGGTGTAATTGTGCCTCACACAAGTAGTCTGAGTCCACGCGTCGTTCGTCCATGAATCGGGAGTGAGATCTTGTTACTCTTATCAGAGTTACATCTAGCGCAATGCTGTGAGTAATCCACGTGATTGGCCATAATCAGTAAAATTTCTTGTATGGTGGCATTCGGGCTTTTCTAAGCAGAGTATGAGACGCCATTTGATGCATCCGGTGAATGGAAAGTCTGTGGAGTTGGCAAGACTGTGCAGCAGCTTCTAACTCCTGTCTACTCTGTAGAGAAGCGCAGATCTCGCCCTACGTTATAGTCATGGCTTTATATACATATGGTAATTTCGACGGGGTTTCGTGAAGATCGCTAGCGTTGGTTACTGCCCTTAGGCAAACGACACTGCAATGTAGCTTTTCTCCACCACACATGGCTGGGGCTACTGCTGCTAGAGTCTGCACACTTAAATGGGAATCCATATATATCATACCGCATCATAAGATCATTGCCCAGATTAGGTTTACCAATGTTGTGGCATTGGTTTGAACTGTCCAGTACGGGCACGCAGCACGGATCCCACAGTGTAAAGCAACCTGAAGGCCAAAACCGCACTAAATCTTACAGTGACAACACGCCACATTTTACCATGCCGCTATAGATTCTAAAAACATCCAACGCAAAACGCTTTCTTCTTGGCTGGCTTTGGGTCAGCATGCGCAGCCACGCAGTCTCGATCCTCTCGAGAGCTCGCTAGCCAAGAGCCGCTACCGTGTCTACTGCGCATGTAGTTGGAAGTTCACAGGAGTAACTTAAGAGCAAAGAGAAAACTCTAAGAAAAGCGAGGCTTCATGAAGTGGTTGCGAGGCGTCAGAACAGAGGAGCTTTTTTTGTGCCCATACCAAGTTGGTCGGCAGCGATCACGAAGACAGCTAAGGGCCCACCTGATCGCCACCCTGCCCAACATCCACAAAAAATGACTGCATTTTAGGCTGTTTGGCACTGCATCAAGGCATTTATACATGGCGTTAAAGGATGTGGACTGTTTGGGGGTAAAACATCATTAAGTACGCTGCATTCGCTGTCGTCAGCGGTCTGAACGGCGCTCTGCTGAGGTACCGCCACGAAGTAACATCTTCACTTTCTTTTCCTCGATATTGCAAGGTGCTCACTTTATATGAACGTCATTGAATCCCCCTGTCCCCCAGTTGACAGCTTGTTGCCCTGCTTCAAGTGAGACTGGGTACTTTTAACAGCCGAAGCATCGACGCAGGAATCAGTAATATTGTAGACGTTCCAAATGCATCGTTGAAGCCAGAAAAAAAGCAGCTTTTGGTGCCTTCTTTGAATCTCATTTCAGGAGTTTCTTCCATGATGACGAGACCGACGATGGTTGTTGTCCAAAATCAATGCATGGGCTCGCCAACGTCGTGCCAAGCGTTTTCAACAACATTTCCCCCCTCGGATTCAAACGTTGCCGCGGCATCAGCATCCACTGCCAAGGGTTGCATCTCCCTCACATCAAGTCGGTCAACGGCATGTAGCAGACCGTGGTCGATGTGTCACCAAGAGGCTTCAGCACTGTTCACGCCCAACAAAGCAAGCCCAGAGGGCTCGTTGCCTCCGTACGTTGTACATGGGAGTCCAGCGCGGCTATGGAAAGACTCTGGGGGTCCCCCTGCACGGGACACAGGGGGCCATTTTCCTCACGGAAATTACATTTCCGCTGGGTCCTGTATTTCACCATACCTACCGGCTGAAGACACCAATGGAGCGTGCAGGACGCATATTGTCCAGCAAAAGTCCCTACATGGCAAATCTTTACCAATCACTTCTCATACGTCATACATTAAGGGGGATTCATCAGTAGTGGACAGGAGAGTAGTGCCAGACGAGGCTCCTGCCCCACCCATTCAGCGTGCTGAACCCCCCGTATTGTTTAGTACTTTCTTCGACAGGCTTCAGCTCGGTCAGATTGTTGCAGCAAAAGATAAAATCCTGCAAAATGTAAAGGGTCATAATACAGAAGGGTTGCCAAGCTTTGAACCGTCACCAAATTCCAGCAGGTCTGCGAATGGGTTAAGTCGTGTGGACACCACAATGCAGCTGTTGGGATCTGTTGACCTACGTGGTCTGTACCACCGCTATCAGAAGAGCACAGAAGGGCGCATCTCAATAAGCGACAGGGATACATCGGCATCACAAGGCACAGCAGAGCCATCACCTTCCGGATCTGATTCGGAGGCAGAGCCTCATGTGCCACAGGACAAGGTCTTCCGTACTGAAGCAGCAGCCAGGCTGGCTGAATCGCGATCATCAGCAAAGGCCCATTCTCTTGCAGTTCCGTCTGTGGGATTCCGCGTCATGGGCTTATGGCCAAAACATGCTGAACGACAGCACGCAACCTGTCGTCAGGTAGCAGCGAAGTCGGTAGCGCAGCCGAGGCAATCAAGGCCAACAACCCGCCGGATGTGCAGAATGACCTACCGGCGTAGAGGTGACGCAGTGAGCCCCTCTCCAGAGCTACCTCGTCAAATGCTTAGCGAAATCGCACCAGAAGGGTCGTACACGCACATGATTCCAGTGTCGGGAAATGGCAATATGAAAGGGCTCGTGACTTGTTCTCCTTATTCTTGGTCTAGCAAAGGGCGCTCCCAGGACAGCGTGTCGGCCCGTGTCATAGAGGGGATAAGCTACCGCTACTTTGTGTTTAACCTTCCTGAGAATGAGGTAATAAGCAATACCGATTTTACGCTAACCTCGTGCATTAGCCAGGGGAGCTTCGGCACTGTGTATAAGGCCGTCTGGAAGGGGGAGGTAGTGGCTGTGAAGCGGGCCCATGGCAAAATGACACTGGAGGCCATGCGATCTGTTGCAAGAGAGATAAACTCATACCGCATGGTTCGGCACCCCTTTATAGTCCGGTATCACGGAGTCTGTCTTGATGATAACTTTGTTGGTCTCGTCACTGAATATCTGGATGGGGGCAACATCTTTGATATTCTCTATGAGAACAAGGTGACCATTACTGCCGCTACACGGTTGAAGATGTGCAAGCAGCTTCTAGAGGCAGTCCATTTCTTGCACACAGAGAAACGCCTTGTCCACAGAGATCTCAAGACTGCTAATCTCGTTGTAGACCAAGAGGTAAGTACAGGTTTACCACAGGTAATCGTAGCCGCATATGCTCGCACCACTTGCCAGCTGCCAGAATATTTTCTGTATTACTTAGCATGGTTATTCCCTGCTGTTTCTTAAGCGGAGCACAGCCAGCAGAGGCGACCCCTGCTCGCGGTCAGCCTACAAATATGGCAGCTCGACCTTCTGATCTCCTTCTTTGTGGGCATCCCATTTTCTATGCAGTACAATATCCGCCTCTGCGACTTCGGTAAAACAAGACCACTAGAGCAATACGGAAAACTCAAACTGGAGGATAATGGTGGCTCGCCGCGCTATATGGCCCCGGAATGCTTTGTGGAAGGCAATTACGTTGATCACAAGGTCGATATTTGGGGCCTTGCGTGCTGTCTAATTGAAATGCTAGGGGGCCCTATACCTTTTGAGGACATCCATTCCAACGAAGGTAAGACTTACACTATCAAGCACGTCAGTTGACACACCAGGGAGAACCACGTGCCTTCTGCCCCAGAAATATCAGTTACAGAGGGAATAACTCACAGCACCAAGCACCGCGAATCCGTGTTTTTGCTGCGTAGGAGTAATACAAGCACTTCTGTACAAGCACCGCCGCCCTAATGTGCCCGCTTGGTTTCACCCAGCAGTCCGAGCAACGCTGGACACCTGCTTTAGTTGGAACCCGTGCGAACGTCCAGACACTAAGCACATCAGAAGTGTATTTGCCAAACTGACAGCAAGCGAGCTAAACAAATATGGCATGAACCACAAGAGAACTTGCAAATAAAGGGGCACGAGTACGCCTGCACAACACAGAACATGCTATAGAAGCCTTTGTACTCGACAAACTGTCCATGCCTCACTGGCTCTTTAGACCTCAAACAGTTTTTTTTGTTCGCTCGACTACGTCGGGTGAGCCCATTCCCCGGCAAATCACTAAGTAGCTCTAGTCGCAAAAATCCACTGTCGAAGTTCTAATCGCTGGAAATTGAATGCAAAGCCCTGGCTGTACCACCACCTACTCCGAGAGCAATAACGCTCGCTCCCCACTGGATGCGCACAACGTACTTCAGGCATTCGTGTATACTCTACACTCTAGCATCCCTAAAACTCACCAAAATTTGAAACTTCCCTAGCAGACCTTCCTGCTAAAGTAGCAGCCCCAATAACTCCAACCCTTCGTGCTCGTTGGGTGCTCGTGAATACTACAGCTGTATGGTCTGTTCCAGCGCCTCCGTACCAACGCATATTAGACAGCCTGTTTTGACGGCTCATAAAACAGAAACTCCACCTTCTCGACATACCCGTGAAGAGCACGGTTCCTACAGGAATAAATGTTAACCACTTGTTCCAGTCCTACGACCTAGTATACTCTAAGCCTCTATCAGGAGTAAACAAACACCCTAGTTTCGTCGTAGCGAGGGCGGAGCAACTTACACCAGCACCGGCGTTACCGTGATCTGTCGCAAAGCTAGTACCGAAACACTACATCGCTAACACAATGCGCATATCAAATCACCTCTACCCATTGTCCATTTAACTGCGATGCGTATGCTCTCATGAGTGGAGTTGGAAGGAACAAGGGAGGACAGCAGACTGAACGTTGAAGACCCCTTGATAGCTGTACTGAATAGACAGCGCTCCCCCCCGGCCCCGCGCTGCGTCACGTGAAGCACCATCCTCTGGACCACAATGCACGGACCAGACTGCCAACCCGCCAAGAAAGGGACCAACAATGTCACTTGAATCCCCACCGTCCCTCCACGCTGACGGCCCAGCGTTGTAGCGGACATCCCCTAGTCTCACGACTGTGGGGGATCCTCGCTTCGCATGCTCTCCCTTCAGCATTGCAAACCACATGTCTCTGCCCGGCTATCCTTCGTACTTCGTGCACAGTCAAATCCCGCTGCGCTTTGGTTGGGGAGTTAAACGACACGCAAGCGCAGGCCATCGCACACAAGTATATCGACCGTGTTGCGGCAGCACAATCCTTTTCTTTAAGCCGCGTCGCCAGTCATGTATCTCTTAGAAGCACTTGCGGTGCACAATGCTTGGTCCCGATTCATCATACTCCTCCTTGGTGATCCACATCTGTTGGAAGGTCGATAAAGACGAAAGAATGGAACCGCCAATCCAGACGGAGTACTTGCGTTCGGGGGGCGCAACAACCTTGATCTTCATCGTTGATGGAGCCAACGAGGTCAGCTCCTTGGTGAGACGCTCACCAATGCCCTCGTACATGGTTGTGCCACCAGAAAGTACAACGTTACCGTAGAGGTCCTTCCTGATATCGACGTCACACTTCATGATGGATTCGAAGGTGGTACGATGAACACCCGAAGCTTCCTTGCCCAGGAAGGAAGGCTGGAAAAGAGCCTCTGGGCAACGGAAGCGCTCGTTACCAACGGTTATGATATTGCCGTCGGGTAGCTCGTAGGACTTCTCGATATCACTAGAATCCTCGGCATTCTGCATAGAAGCACATATATTCACATGTTTAAACGCTTGCAGTTGTACACCCCAAGAACCAGCATGCAGAGCCATGACCGTATTAACATACAATGGAGCACCCACGAAAATCAATCGCGTGTCGCTAAGGGCGAGCACAACCCACCTTCATCTCCTCATCAAAGTCCAAGGCAATGTAGCAGAGCTTTTCCTTGATATCACGAACAATTTCCTTTTCAGCAGTGGTAGTGAAGCCATATCCGCGCTCGTGAAGGATGGTCATCATATACTCCGTCAGGTCACGGCCGGCAAGATCCAAGCGCATCATCGCGTGAGGAAGGGCATAACCCTCGTAGATGGGAACAGTGTGGGAAACTCCATCACCAGAATCCAACACAATACCCGTAGTACGACCAGATGAATAAAGGGAAAGAACGGCCTGGATGGCGACATACATCGCTGGAACGTTGAATGTTTCGAACATGATCTGAGTCATACGTTCTCGGTTAGCCTTGGGATTCAGAGGTGCCTCAGTCAGAAGAACTGGGTGCTCCTCAGGAGCAACACGCAGCTCGTTGTAGAATGTATGATGCCATATCTTCTCCATATCATCCCAATTGGTGACGATGCCGTGCTCGATGGGGTACTTAAGAGTAAGGATACCCCTCTTACTCTGGGCTTCATCACCCACATAGCAATCCTTTTCTTCCATCCCTACCATGATTCCAGGGTTCTTAGGACGGCCAACAATGGATGGGAACACTGCGCGTGGAGCATCGTCACCCGCAACTCCAGCCTTCACATTACCGGATCCGTTGTCCACAACGAGGGCCTGAACCTCCTCGTCTGCCATTTTCTTGAGAGAAAATTTAAAGTAGTGTAACGACTAGAGCACCGAGTAGGCGTCGACAATGACCTGTACAATTGCACAATGCACGCGCACAGAAATCGGGTGAGGAAAACCGCGCATCCACAGCAAGCCAATAGCCACACTGACAGGTACCGGAGAGAACAAACGCAGATAGCGAAAAATTTTTCTCGAAAGCTACAGATCCCCCAGTCTGATTCCTTGCTCACTGCAGTCTAGCCAGGAAAGCGCACACGAAGTGGGAAAGTCAGAGCAACCTCTATGAAAAAAACAGGCGTTTGGCTGGAACAGTGTTGTCGTGCACGCACCTGCAGCGCTAGTGCCCAGGGAAAAACAGATGTGCAAATGATGAAGGCGAAACCGTCAAAAAAAAGGGACCATTCCGCTACAAAAGTTTCGGATAGTTGGTGGAGGCAGGTGTGCCTGCGGAGCGCCGCTGGGCGGGCCAGAGGGGCTGGTGTGCTGCTGCCAGCCGAGCACACCAAACTGCCTGCGCTTGGCGGCACAGCCGGCTGGACAATGTGCTAGCCTGCTTTCGGCAATATAATACTAGGGGAGTACTGTAAAAAATGATTATTTTACCCGCAGTTCTTCCAAGACATATGCACCGTAGCTAACGCTCTGGAAGCAAACTTGCTTTGCGCACCGCAATAGCAAGACTGATGACTGCAGCGCTACCAGAGCCGTTCAGAGAAACCCTAGGGTACTATGTACAAGTAAAAATAAAGACCCACACTTCGTAAGGCTTACTTCTATTGATGTGGTGACTTCTGATTTATTGAATAAAGCTACGTATTCAAGGCTGGGGGACCGGTGTACTCGATGGCTGGCTAGCTTACAGGCAGCCACAGGTATGCTAGAGTTAGTGGTAGCCGCCTCGGTGCTGCATGCGGTAAATCCATCTCCTCTGGTAAGAGTTCACTGCTCTGTAGTGTAAATATCTTCTTGCAAATACTTTCGACTTCGTGTGAGTGTTAGTTCTATATACTCAAAGTATGTATATCTGGGGCCTTATTAAACGACTCAGCGAGGATGCAGTTAGAAGTGCAGCAATTTACACCAAACGTCAATGCTAGAAGCATTGGGCCAAGTGTGATTCGGTGCTTTGTACTAAATATGTAATATTCCACTTAAGGCCTCTGTAGAGCGTCTTTAACTCCAAACTCAGTACAACCCTGGTAGAATCTTGTTGAGTACTTCCCAAAAAGCTCCCTGCTTCCCGTGCCACTGCCCATCAGATCCCGACAGTGGGGGAGATGGTCAGCTTCAGTGTGCGTAGCTGCGTCCTTAACTCACTCCAAGCAATCACGGCTGCTTGTACAAAGCATCTAGCGCATACTAACGTAGAATCGCTTTTTTGTGTAGAGCTTCAGCCCAACAATGGGCTATGCCGCCCCCATGGGCAGCTGTTTCTCTGCCAGGCGATTTATGAACGAACATACGAATGAGTCAATCGTTTACTAACTTTTAGCTAAATGTGAGTAGTGTAGTAGAAAGCGTTTAAGTATAACTTCGCCCGCTACAATCAAAATATAACAACAGAGGGCCATCCAGGGTGCGCGTTATTTTCTTCCTTAGGCACTCTGATCACCCTCACTCACTTGCAGATATTAACTGGCGCACGACGAAACGTTTATTTATCTTGGATTGAAGTAGCTGTAGAAAATAGCCTTCAAGATGTGTGATAACCCAAATCAAGTAGTCAACGTTTCTCAGATTTTACATCTATCTAGTATACTAGAAGCTTCCTTAGTGTAGCCTGGCGCGCTGCATACGCTATGCAACACTCTTCCGCTGGTCTCCGTAAGGACACCCATAGCCACAACCTCATACACAAGTTAGATAGGGACTTTTTAATGTCGCTACCATTGATCTTTTCCCTCTTTATTGCCCTCACTTTACAGGGTCCCCGCATGAACGGAGAGTTGAACTCTCATAGTGAAATGACATTGAAAGTGCACCACTACCTGCCTAATTAGCGCTCTAGGGCTGGTTCCGAGCACAGACACCTAAAAAGCTAAAGGATCTGCATGCCCATCGTGGATCAAGCCCTTTAACCCGTAATCACGCCTACTGCATATGCATGCTCATTTATCGAATACGCTATAAATGATATCGTTGGGAAAGATGTGATTTCTGGCTTTCTAATAGCAGTGCCTATATCCCGTTCTCAGCCTGACAGTGAGATGTAGCTTCAACCCTACTCATAGTTAAGAATAAGCAAATAGAAGAAGCATATTTGTCACATAAGTGCTTGTGGCTGAAGTGGCACTGATGTCCACTGGGCCAATTTGGAGGCTAATCCTTCGAAGCCCCAACTTGCCCTCCAAAAGCTTATGCACAAAGGCGGACTTCGATGACAGAACAGTATTAAAAGAGCCTTTAGAGAGTTGGCTGTTTCCTTAAAGTACCAAATTGTCTTAAGCATAGAAGATTCTTGCTATTAGTGCTGGGGCCCGAACTGTGGGTTTGCACCAGCGGGTCCAGTGTGCATGAAAGTGGCATGGAGATTTCGTCGTTTGCACTACTTTTCAAAACAAAAAACAGATACTTCTTTTGAGAAATCGATTCTGTGTGAGGCTTCCAGGAGGTTTGAGCAGAGTGAACCTTAAGTTTAGAATGTGCACATGGCGGCACTCAGCCCGCATTAGGGACCCCAACATTTTGTCTAGGCTCAGGATAACACCGGAACACAAAGGCAAGCGCCATTCCAACGAACGATTGTCGTTCCACCTTTTGCCTATGAACTGATGTAGTAGAGTAGTAGATGAACTACTTGGCTTACAGATGAGATGCTCAAATACACGCCCAAGAGGAGTCGGAGGGCCGTTGAATGATTCCTGGGGAACGCAAACAAACTCGATAGTGGATGTAACACGAGGCCGCACATTTGGTAAAGGGGCATAACACATACCTATAAATAAGTCTTGAATTTTTCTTCTTCTTTATGATCTGCTATAGAAGAGCATGCAGTTGCAATAACCTTCACAGGGGGCCGAGGGCCCTTAGAGACTATGTACTTCCAAGACCTCTGGCTTTTTAGCTCCTGACGTGTACCGACAGCCTTAAGTCGCGACAAAGGGAGCTGGAAGAGCAGTTGTAGTGCTGGTTCACGATAAGTACAATCCCTTGAAGACTAGGTACAGAAATGACATGGAAACGGAACCGCATTCTGGCTCACGGTGGATAGCAGCTTTCAGCCTATTTAAACAGTGAGGACAAACGCATGAGCGGGGAAAGTAAGCAAATTAAAAAAGATAAAACATGAAATGTCTAGAACCAATTGCCGTTTACAGGCTGCGTACGGCCACAAAGCCAAAGCCCTTTACTTAGTAACCCTGCACGCATCGTCCTTGGATGACGGCTTGGTGGACCACTTAACTCAAAGAATTAAGCATCTAATTACTGAAAGAGTGCATAGCATTCATGTGCAATAGAAGCCCCAAAATTGTGTACGGCAATACGTGATTATCCCATACTGAAGTGAGCACCATGCATTACTCATCGTCACAGGTTGCAAGACAACGCATTGCACGAAAAATCAGGAGAGTTCGAGAGCGCATCCAGCTTCAGTTGCGTTTGCTGTGTGACTTGGACAATTAGTGCGTGGGGAGCATTCCGGCAACCAGAAAAATGCCTGCGATCTTGTTTTTTCGTAGCACTGTCGGACTGCAGCGAGTGGACCCACAGATCCTTCGTGTCTTGCCTACTAAATAAGTGAGCTACCACAAACCATTTCACGTTGCACATACCAGTCTGTCCCCTTGGCACTTCCGTAGGCGCTCATTGCGGATGCGTGTAGGCCCTATGGCTGGAAAAGGTCTTGGCTGTTCTCTAAGTTCCATTTATATCGCTAATTAATCGCGCTTCCACGGGATTTGAGCGAGTCCGCAGTACAACTTCAACCTCATATTCCGGTTGAATATCATCCACGTCCCTGAGTGGCCGGTTCCTGAGCCTCTAATTAAAGCATATCGAATGGGCGTAGGCAATCATGCTACATGAGACAAATGTAACATTAGAAATACTGCAGGAATGTGCAAGGAAATCGCGGTTCTCAGGCACAGTTGATATACTGCAAAATTTTGAACGCAAAACAATATGAGCCTGTGGTTTGGCTTTTTCGCGCGGCTCCATGTGGTGGCTGGATGCCCAAACCAGGTTTCCTCCAGAGGATTTCGTTCTTCGTTGAATCCTGTCTAGCTACCGCTTTTGCAGTGCATAGGCTCGCATCATATAAGCTGTTTCGCGGTCAAACCAGTTAGCGAAAGGCTGCTCCATGGGATGTAATCGTGTAGGCTGGAGCTGATCAACAATACCTAGATCCGTAGCATATCGATGCTCTCCCCTATTATGATTTCAAAGTGAGTAGTGCCTGCAAAACTATAAACTGTGCAGCTGTGTGCTAATCGTACCGCGAAAAGTACGGGATCCGATACCGATTCGTCAGATTGAGTGGATGTAAGCAGGAAACGATCTAGTGTGGGGTGCATACATTCTGTCGGGGCGTCAGATCGAGAGTACCTGACGCTTGAAAGAGCCTTGTGGATCGTTGGCGTGTGGCCAAAGGGCTTTGAGAGCTCTGAAACAGCTGCTCTGACAGCAGTACAGCTGGAACCCTAGACAAGATACTCGACCTTCCACCAAAAGATACAAAGTATAGGCCGCCACTGTATTAGTACAGGTGAGGATGGAGTGTGCCACTTTGCTAATGGTATTATCTACGAGGATAATAACTGCACCTAGCTCGTTGGCCGTACGGAGGTAGCAGCGATAAACCCCTGTGGCACTTGGGCCCATCGTCTGTCGGGAATTTGCAGAGATGAAACTAAACCACATGGATTCGTGAAGATGAAGCTTGCTGTTCTACAGCGTGGTCAGGATTTCATGCATTTTCTATCGTAGCTGCGTATGTCGTCGTAGCTCTCTGGCAAGTGTCACGTAGCTTTTGCTGATCCTGCGTGGCCTGCTGGAGTACGGGCATA